TCTGGTATCTCTGTGACTTGTGTCCTCGCAGTCTACTGGTTCATCTCTGTACTATGTCCGCAGTCTAATTGTTTTCGCCTGTAGGTATTTCTCTTTTCTCTCTGGGTCTTGTCCTTCGGTGTGACGTGTCTGCAGTTCTCTGGTCGATACTCCCTGTACTAGTGGCACGCTCTGTCCCTCTGGTCTCTCTCCTGTAACTTATGTCTGGGGGTCTCTGGTCATCTCATGTAGGATGTCTGCAGTCTTTCATGGTACATTCCTAGTACTGTTGGCGAGCTAGTCTCTGTACCATGTCTTCTGTTCCTATGTCCCGCTGTCTCTTGTGTTCTTCTTCCTGTTGTTTTATGACCCCTGTTCGCCTTCGGTCATTAGTGTTCTTGTCTGCTCCTCTTTTGTCCCTGGGTCATCCTCTTGTACTTGTCTGCAGTCTAACGTTGTCCATACTCTGTACTAGCTGGTTCCTTGCAGTACTGTAGATCAAATCCACTTGTACTATGTCCGCTGTTCTCCCGGATCATATCCTGTGACGAATGTCCGCTAACGTCTCATGGTCTCCTGCACGGTTAAGTATGTCTGCTGGATCTTCCGGGAATTCTCCTGGGTCATTACATCCGCAGTCTCTGGGGATTCACTGAACTATGTCTGGCGAATCCTACTTGGTTCAAAATATTTTTTTTCTGAATTGTTTTCCTCCTCCTCTAAAACCTAGGTGGCGTCTTAGGGGGGTAGCAGGGGCGGACTGAACAAAACATCATGGGGCCCCCCGGGCAATCGTAGGGGATCACTTGGGGGCGCCCCCGATTGTGCAGCCCTTGATTCAAACTCAAAAAAGCATATGGAAAAAGTTGGTACCAGGGGTTATACCTCAAGGGGCCCCTACTGACTTCTGAGGTCCCGGACTTGCGCGCACGATGCCAAGGGTTTCCAAAAATGGTCATCGTCCCACCCTCCTGCGTCTTTATGGAGTGGAAAAAATTATGGTAATATCTATCTATGTACACCTTAATTTTTCAGTCCAATGCCTATTGACCTTAGGCCTGTCACTCATTCAATGTGCCAACCCTTTAGACAGGCTCCACCACCTAGCACCAACCGATTATGGACTAGGATATGGTTTTGCCACGCGATTCAGTTTAAACTGCACGGACATGTATTTGCTAAAGAGGACCTGTCACCTCTTTACATGGGTACTCTTACCAACAATCATTATACATCGTAATAGTCGGCTACCCTCGCGGCCCTAATGAAATCAAGGCATATGTTGTTTTAAGCGCTTTAACCAGATCGCCTTTCAGTGTATCATTTATTCCAGCAGGAAAGATAAATTATTCAACCCCCCGGGATCTGTTCATAGAACACAACTTGTAAAGATGCAACTGTGAGCTTTCTTAACTGGACCCCGTTTCCGTAGCATTTTATTCGACTGGCGTCTCGTGAACCGGTCACTTGAAGGCTCCTCTCCTCTGTCGGCGGATCTAAAGCGTTTGGGTGTCACCACCGTTGTCGCCTCAGACATGCTAGAATTTGAAGGAAGATGACCACAGCGGGCACCTAAGGTTTTCATTATTATTAACTCATGGGCAAGTGGCTAAACTGTGCAGCGTTATGAAAAGGGCTCCAAACCAGAGGCTCCTCAACGAAGCTATTTGGAGTGCAACTTACAAAACGTCCTTTCCTCTTCGATTTCATATAAAAAAACTTCGTTTTTTTAAAGACAACAATCCCATTTTGTTTTGCCAAAAACAAAGCCCTTGACCTCTCGGGATGACCTGGTCAACAACCAGAAAGTTTGAACTACATCTTTATCATTCAAAAGCAAATAAGTATTTTGGCTGAGAAAGGGCTTTTAGGGAAGTATACCGGACAAGGATCTTGGTAAAGTCAGGGAATTACGACTCCACAGCCAGGAAAGACCAAAATAAATTATTATTATTATACAGGATTTATATAGCGCCAACAGTTTGCTCACGCTTTACAATATAACGGGAGACAATAGAGCAACAATACAGTTCAATACAAGAGGGATAGGAGGCCCTGATCCTTGAAGCTTACAAATCTAAGAGGGAGAGGCTAGTGGTACAAAAGGTAGTTAACTGTGGGGGATGGACTGGTAGGAGAATAGAAGATTCCATTCCATTATTAGCTGAGGGCACATAGGCTTCCCTGAAGAGATGGGTTTTTCAGAGATCGCCTAAAAGTGAGCAGAGTAGGCGATAGTCTGATAGATTGGGGTTAGAGAGTTTCCAGAGGATGGGGGAAGCTCTAGAGAAGTCCCTGGAGACGAGCATGGGAGGAGAGACAAAGGGAGCTAGAGAGCAGGAGGTCCTTGCGAGGAGCTTAGGGAGAGGACGGTTTGGGTGATATTTGGAGACAAGATTTTGGTGATGTAATTAGGGGGCAGAGTTATGAACGGCTTTTAATATGTTATTGTTAGTGTTTGAATTTATATCTGTTGGGCAATGGGAAGCCAGTGGAGTGATTGGCAGAGAGGGGTGGAGGACACTGAATGGAGGCCAGTGGTGGGATTGGCAGAGAGGGGTGGAGGACACTGAGTGGAAGCCAGTGGAGGGATTGGCAGAGAGGGATGGAGGACACTGAATGGAGGCCAGTGGAGGGATTGGCAGAGAAGGGTGGAGGACACTGAGTGGAGGGCCAGTGGAGGGATTGGCAGAGAGGGATGCGAGGACACTGGGAATGGAGGCCAGTGGAGGGATTGGCAGAGAAGGGTGGAGGACACTGAGTGGAGGCCAGTGGAGGGATTGGCAGAGAGGGTGGCAGATACAGAATGGTTAGGGAAGGTGAATGAGTCTGGCAGCATTCTAGCATTCAGGAAGTCCTGGAGAAGTCCTGGAGACGAGCATGGGAGGAGGAGACAAGGGAGCTAGAGAGCAGGAGGTCTTTCGAGGAGCGGAGAGTACGGTTTGGGTGATATTTGGAGACAAGGACACAGAGATGTAATTTGGGGCAGAGTTTATAAATGGCTTTATATGTTATTGTTAATGTTTTCAATTGTATCCGGAATTGGGCAATGTATCCAGATTTGCCAGCGACATAAAGGGTCCTTTCACACAGCGGGGGACCTGTTTAGTGGATTCCGATTGTTCAGCGGGGATGTCTCCGCTGATCCCCGCTGAGCAACTAAAGATGACAGGCCTGTGTCTGCTCTGCTACTGCAGAGCAGATGCGACACAGAGCAGCTTGCTCTCCTCAATGAGCAGTCGGATGAAAACGGACCACCTGTCCATTTTCCATCCACCCGATCCAATGGACTGAAGGGGAATTGGATTCCCATCTGTCTCTTGTTTGTGGGTCAGATCGGATCGGATGTCGGCGGGTGTAAATGGACACATGTCTGTTTGCACCTGCCTCTCCGTAGAGGAAAATGGAGGTTTCCAATCGGGTCCACCTGAAAAACGGACAGGTGGACTGACCATTTGGAAACTCGGGCACTACCTGGGGACCCGGGGTCAGTAGGTGGTCCCCATGAGATGCCCCTGGTACCTTTTTCATAGGATTTTTTGAGTTTGGGCCAGGACACAGAGGCCCCATGATCCCCTATTGCCCGGGGGCCCCATGAGTTGTCAGTCCGCCCCTGGGTGGACCTGATCAGAACGTCCATCTGAAAGAGGCTTTATATCACACTGCATTTATAAATAGGATGTAGTGATCAGCATTGAACCTTTGCCATCTGCTGGTCATTACTAAGAATTGTAGGACAGTTGCTTGCTGCGCACACCTTCTCTCATTAGTGGACTTTAACCACCTTACTACCATGCCTTTGTTAAAAAATGGAAGGTAGGTGGACCCAATTTTCTGGAGCTGCAGAAAACATGCATGAGTGGCCAGTGTGCCTGTAATACCTGAAATTGATCTGTTATCAACAATTTGAAGTCTTGGTACAGCAGAGCTCAGATTGGGTCAGGGAGGAGCAAGACTGGGGGCCAATGGGCTTATCCGTCTTCTGCTTCTCTTTTCACCATCCAATCACAGACTGGAGGAAGGACAAGACCTATAAGCAGGGTTTTTTTCAGCGGGGGCACAGGGAACACAGTTCCAGCACCTGCAGCACTGAATGTACTTAATGCTAAGGGGTGTTGGGATGTGCTGGAGAATCTATTGATGCTGGCTGCTGGCTGATCTATTGTCACTGGGGGGGATCTATTGTTGCAGGGGGTCTATTGTTACTGGTGGGGAAAAGTTTGTTGATGGGGGGTCAGTTGTTGCTGTGAAGGATCTTTTGAGGACGGAGTCTTTTGTTGCTGGCTGCTGGAGCATCTTTTGACACAGGGGCCCCATGATCCCCTATTGCCCGGGGGGGCCCCATGAGTTGTCTGTCCGCCCCTGGTAAGTACTTGCTCGCAGAAAAAAAAAAGCCCTGCCTGTACGCTTTACTGACCTGCAGTAGAAAAAAATCAGGCTCCCTGCCCTGTCAGAGGCTGTGCAGCAGAGCTGCATAAATCTCACATCTGGATGGACACAAATACAACTCTTTTGGTGGGTAAAACAGTTCCAATATAATTATGCATCTGTGTAGTTAGCTGTTTGTCTGCAGTTCAGCTTCGAAATAATGGTTGTGGCCAAATAGTTAGCACTTCCGCCTGGCAGTATTAGGGTCGTTGGTTCAAATCCCAACCATGGCACCACCTGCCTGGAGTTTGCATGTTTCTCCCTGTGCCTGCGTGGGTTTCCTCTGGGTACTCTGGTTTACTCCGAAGACATGCTGGTAGGTTAACTAGCTCCTGTCTAAATTGGCCCTAGTATGTGTATGTATGAATGTGAGTTAGGGACCTTAGATTGTATGTCCCTTGAGGGTTAGGGACTGATGTGAATGTACAATATATATGTAAAGCGCTGCGTACATTGACAGCGATATATAAGTACCTGTAATAAATAAAATCTCTGCAAGCACGGTAAGTGTCAGGGTCACCACCCTGCAGGGGCGGACTGACAACTCATGGGGCCCCCGGGCAATAGGGGATCATGGGGCCCCTGTGTCCTTGCCCAAACTCAAAAAAGCCTATGAAAAAGGTACCAGGGGCATCTCATGGGGCCCCTTACTGAACCTGGGCCCTCAGGCAGTGCCCGAGTTTCCAAATGGTCAGTCCACCCCTGCTGCCCTGTCATTAGGCGATCGACCTAGGCATCGCTGAAAGCTTTCACTGCAAAAAACAAATGAGTGCAGAGCCCAGGTTCCACAGACAAGGATATATTTGATGAACGAGGACAGCTCTTCATTATCATTAGCGTATTGGAGATTCTCTGGCGGTGACACGTGGTGTTCAGGAAAGCAGTAATTAGCCGGGGTCACTGGCGAGTACAGCCTTGCTAATAACACTTCGGAGCGATGCCTCCCTGTACTGTACCAGAGCCGCATCAGCAGAACTCTGCAATGTTTTATTTATTAAGTGTCCTAATATCTGAATATTCAGCGCAGGCTCCCTCCGCGTACGCCTGGAATAATAATGTATTTTATTCTCCCAGATTCTAATGTGAAGGTGAGAGGCCGGCCGTGCTTCATCGACGTGCCCATCTCTCGTCTCACTAATAAATCTCCTTATTGAATGTGCCATATAATTGATCTGGAAGCTGCGCGTTACGGATGGCGTGCATTAGGCGCTTTCCATGTGTTAAGGATGACGGTCGTTTATGTGGAATGATTAGAAAGCATTCTCGGTGCTAACGGTTTCAATGTAGCAAAAAATGAGATCATGTATCTACATGTGCTTAAAGCAGCATTAAACCCAAAAGCAAACATTTATTATATTGCAGCTTGCCCTTTCTTAGATGTGACGGCTGCATTAGCGTTTCCTCTGGTGATCCAGCCAATAAGTCTGTTGTTTTTCAAAAGAACAAGTTCTCCTGCAGTCGTAGAAGTTACAGGGATGAGACAAACCATGTACAACTGACAGGGGTGCTTACAATGATCACCTTTTATTTGATGATGTAAAACCTTTATCCCAAAAGGGAAAATAAACTGCTGTAATTAATTATAAAGTGTTATCTGGAGCAGGGGCAGACTGACAACTCATGGGGCCCCGGGCAATAGGAAATCATGGGGCCCCTGTGTCCTCACCCACACTCAAACCACACCCAAAAAAGCCTATGAAAGGTACCAGGGACATCTCATGGGGCCCCCTACTGACCCCGGGCCCTCGGGCAGTGCCCGAGTGGCTAAATGGTCAGTCTATCCTGGCTATATAGGATCCCCTGCATGGTGGGGGTTGGGGAAACACCTGGCAACCTACCCTGTAAAAATAATTGCTATGAGAATTCTTGGAAGAAGTCGCTTGCAAGTGACAGTCCATGCAATCACCAAGGGGTCGGATACGACTGAATGGATAGATAGATAGATAGATAGATAGATAGATAGATAGATAGATAGATAGATAGATAGATAGATAGATAGATAGATAGATAGAGATAGATAGATAGATAGATAGATAGATAGATAGATAGAGAGATAGATAGGAGATAGATTGATAGATAGATAGATAATAGATAGATAGATAGATAGATAGGAGATAGATAGATAGATAGATAGATAGATAATAGGAGAGAGATAGATAGGAGATAGATAGATAGATAGATAGATAGATAGATAGATAGGAGATAGATAGATAGATAGATAGATAGATAGATAGAATAGATAGATAGGAGATAGATAGATAGAGAGATAGATAGATAGATAGATAGATAGATAGATAGATAGATAGATAGATACAGATAGATAGATAGATAGATAGATAGATAGATAGATAGATAGATAGGAGATAGATAGATAGATAGATAGATAGATAGATAGATAGATAGATCACTGCCCTCCCCCCAGATTGGCAATGCTGCTGTCCAAAGGTGACTTCTGTGCTCCTTCAACAGAGTGGGGGCACTCTAATACAGGAGGTGTGTCACTGGCCCAGGGGCGGACTGACCATTTGGAAACTCGAGCACTGCCCGAGGGCCCCGGGGTCAGTAGAGGGCCTCATGGGGCCCCCGGGCAATTGGGGATCATGGGGCCCCTGGTACCTTTTTCATAGGGTTTTATGAGTTTGGGCAAGGACACAGGGGCCCCATGATCCCCAATTGCCCGGGGGCCCCATGAGTTGTCAGTCTGCCCCTGCACTGGCCTGCACTGGCCAGATCTCCAGGTGAAAACCTAAAGCCTAAAAAAGAAAACTAAAGCAGCATTAAACCCAAAAGCAAACAAAAGAAAAAGTTCTCCTGCAGACGTAGAAATTACAGGGATGAGACAAACCATGTACAACTGACAGGGTGCTTACAGTGATCACCTTTTATTTGATGATGTAAAACCTTTATCCCAACAGGGAAAATAAACTGTTTGCTGTAATTGATTATAAAGTGTTATCTGGAGTTTGGCATCATTTTGTTAGTGCATCTAAATCTGCTAGTACATCTATCACTGCCAGGGGCGGACTGACCATTTGAGCAATCGGGCACTGCCCGAGGGCCCGGGGTCAGTAGGGGGCCCCATGAGATGCCCCTGGTACCTTTCATTGGCTTTTTCATAGGCTTTTTTTTTGGGTGTGGGCGAGGACACAGGGGCCCCATAATCCCCTATTGCCCTGGGGCCCCCATGACTTGTCAGTCCACCCCTGAACACTGGCCTCCCCCAGACTGGCAATGCTGCTGTCCAAAGGGGACTTCTGTGCTCCTGCAACAGAGTGAGGGCACTCTTAATACAGGAGGTGCATCACTGGACAGATCACCAGGTGAAAACCTAAAGCTTAAAAAAGAAAACTAATGCAGCAACCACATCTAATAATTGGTAAGCTGCAGTATATTACATTTTTGGTTTTGGGTTTAATAATGCTTTAAGACTGAACTCCTGGAAATGCAAATATTGTCTAAACCCCTTCATCATGTGTATTTCTTCCTTGAATTGTGATGTTTTTTGTGTATTTCTTCCAGATCTGTGCAGTAATCCAGTGTGAGACTTTTCTCACTGTGTAAAGGGGCTTTGTGGTTAGATAGTTTTGGCACCCAAACACACGGCCCTACCCTGCTCCAGCACTACTAGAACATGATCCCACCTGTAGAGACTGACCCCTCCGCCATCTTGTGCCCTGCTCCTTGCCATAGGCCTCCTCACGACATTCCCTGCCATTGACCTTTATATCCAAAAATATGGAATGTCCACACGATAACTAGATTCACTGCAATTTACTGGTGTTGTTCAGGGGATGGCAAGAGAGTCACATCAAAGGGACATGCATTGCAGAGTTACTTGATATACTTAGTCAATCACACTTAGCAGACAGTCTGCAGTAGTCCACAAGTGAAAGCACGTGAAGCACCTCACAGCAATCCCCCAAAAGTCTTTCCTCTACTCGGGGCCAATAGTACTCACAGGACTGTGTTCTCTGTAGAAACCTCCTAGCTGGGTAGACCTCTCCTGGAAATCATCCAGGGAAGCAGCCTCACATAGGGATCTCCAGCCTGACCTAAAAGGCCTTTTGCATTTTTTCCACAAGGGACAGAATGACTAAAGTCAGCTCCTCCGGCATACAGGTTCACTCTGCATAGCCCTCTGCCCTGTCCAAGGCCTACATGTGCTGGTTACAAGTTGGCAGATGTGGGGATGTTTAGCTCCCATGCCTCAAGACTGTCTGTATCCCCTCCCCACCTACCTTATATGTGGGTGGTGACCAGGGGCAGACTGACAACTCATGGGGCCCCCAGGCAATAGGGGATCATGGGGCCCCTGTGTCCTTGCCCAAACTCAAAAAAGCCTATGAAAAAGGTACCAGGGGCATCTCACGGGGCCCCCTACTGACCCTGGGCCCTCGGGCAGTGCACGAGTTTCCAAATGGTCAGTCCGCCCCTGGTGGTGACTCACACCTGACATCACTTGTTGGAGGGCTCTACCTAAAAGGAACCTAACACCTAGTGTCACTACCTCCTGTACCAGACACTATTCTGGTACATTGACACCTAGGGGCAAAGTGGCTAACTGCACCTGCCTACAGGTTTAAGCTGAAAGATTCTAGGTAGGTAGGTAGTCAGGGCCCACGTACCACCTAATGAGGAACTTGTTGGATTTATTTGGCAACTTTCATGAATTTTGTTAGAACCAGATGACTTGTAGGTTAGTAGAAAAATTTGGTTGATTTGATTTTGAGATAATATATAGTTGGGGTCAGGGGCGGACTGACCATTTGCAAACTCGGGCACTGCCCAAGGGCCCAGGGTCGGTAAGGGGCCCCATGAGATGCCCTTGGTACCTTTCATAGGCTTTTTTAGGTGTGGTTTGAGTGTGGGTGAGGACAAAGGGGCCCCATGATCCCCTATGGGCCTCATGAGTTGCCAGTCCGTCCCTGTTTGGGGTCTCTATCCCAAGATCGGAGTTAAGATGGTGGGGAATGATTGTCCACCTTTTACCAACTTTAACCAATGTTCCTGAACCAAAATGGCATTGTGAGCTCGAGCGGAGAGATTCTTATGTACTGTAGGTGGTCTGGGGTCATGTACTACCTAGTAAGTAACTTGTTGGATTTTTTTTGTAACTTTTTTAGATTTTGTTAGAAACAGATGACTTGTAGATTAGTAAAATATTTGGTCAATTTGATTTTGAAACGTATATGGTTAAGGTCTTCTTCCCAAGACCCTAGATAGGATGGTGGCGAATGGTTGTCCACCTTTTATCAACAATATAACTAGAGATGAGCGAAGAAATGAAAAATTCGATTCGACTGATTCGGCGAATTCGTGGACAATATTCGATTCGAGTCGAATAAATTCGCTGTGAATTTAACTTAAAAAAGGGTGTGTTTCTAGGCTTCAGAGAGACTTAATATTAGTGCAGAACACTGTACCTTTAATTTAAATGCCCTTGGAGTCTGCTGGGGAAGAGAAATAATACTGTCTGTCAGTATGACATGCAGATGAGTGCCGTCGATCTTAGAATCACTGCACACTTCACTCCTTTGGCCAGTCACGGGGCCAAAACCAGTGTTTGGAGCCACAGTGTGGCGGTGGAGGCAGCAGCAATGGGAGGCCATACAGCAACCTATGACAAAATGGAAACCAGCAGGAGCGTGAGGAGACCTGAAAGTGGCACATGGCAGAGTGGGAGCAATGGGAGGCGGTACAGGGACCCAGGTCACACTGTGGGCCCAGCAGCAGCGTGACCAGGCGGTACGGGGGCCCATGGCCGATATGGGGCTTGGTGGCACCTATGGAAGGCCTGTAATCTGCCAGCAACCTATGACAAAATGGACAACCGCAGGAGTGTGAGGAGATTTCAAAGTGGCACATGGCAGAGTGGAAGCAATGGGAGGCCGTACAGGGACCCAGGTCACACTGTGGGACCAGCATCAGCGTGAACAGGCGGTACGGGGGCCCATGGCCGATTTGACCTCATTCATCCCATAGTCCTGCCGACTCACGAATAGCGTGGCCTCCTCAAAGGGCCTGAGCAAGCGCAGGTGTCACACATGAGCTGACAATGGCTGACATCTAAGTTACACAGGGAGTACCTTTATCCGCTTTTAACATCAGGAAATCTGTGATGGCCTTTAGCTGTTCGTAAAGGCGGTCTAACATATGTAGGGTTGAATTACACCTTGTTGCAACGTCACAGCATGAGGAGTCGGTACGGGGGCCCATGCAGATTACATGTCTGGCAGCAGCAATGGGAGGCCGTAATCTGCCTGCACCCTATGTCAAAAAATTTAACACACCAGCAGTGTGAAGAGACCTGAAAGTGGCACATGGCAGCAGAGTGTGGCGATGGAGACAGCAGCAATGGGAGGCCGTACAGGGACCCATGAGAGACTCTAGACTTGCAGCAGCATGGGAGGCATGAGGAGGCGGTATATAGGGGCCCATGGCAGATTAGGGGCCTGGCAGCAGCTATGTGAGGCCCGTAATCTGCCTGCACCCTATGTCAAAAAATTTAACACACCAGCAGTGTGAAGAGACCTGAAAGTGGCACATGGCAGCAGAGTGGTGGCGATGGAGACAGCAGCAATGGGAGGCCGTACAGGGACCCATGAGAGACTCTAGACTTGGCAGCAGCATGAGGAGGCGGGGTATATAGGGGCCCATGGCAGATTAGGGGCCTGGCAGCAGCTATGTGAGGCCCGTAATCTGCCTGCACCCTATGTCAAAAAATTTAACACACCAGCAGTGTGAAGAGACCTGAAAGTGGCACATGGCGCAGAGTGTGGCGATGGAGTTCCTGCACCCTTGTCAAAAAATTTAACACACAGCAGTGGAAAACCTGAAAAGTGGCACATGGGAGAGTGTGGCGTGGAGACGCAGCAATGGGAGGCCGTACAGGGACCCATGAAGACTTGATTGGCAGCGCTGAGGGGGGGGGTATATAGGGGGCCCCTGGCA